TGATAACCCCGACCCGCGCCCCCCCCCCCCCCCCCCCCCCCCATTCTCCATGTTCACATTTCTCTGTTTGACTGTAGGAAATTTGAGGAGATCTACCCCCCGGAGGTGGCAGAATTTGTTTACATCACTGATGACACCTACACAAAAAAACAAGTGTTGAGAATGGAGCATCTGGTGCTGACGGTTCTGTCGTTTGATCTTGCTACTCCTACAATCAATCAATTCCTCACCCAGTATTTCTTGCACCAGCCTGTGAGCGGCAAAGTGGAGAGCTTATCAATGGTGAGAACCTTTCCTGCAGTTCAGTTGCATTGTGTGGCGGTTCCGTGTTATCATATGAAACTGTTGTAACCCCCCATTTCCATTACTCCAATAACTGAAGCCATAGCCTCAATTTTGGGGGAGTGGTGAGATCTTAAGTGATATTTTTATTTTTTTTTTGCAGTCCTTAAGGATTGAGCTTTTATGCTTGATACATCCAGATATTTGTACATTAGGTAATCAAGCATTGTTTTAATATTTCTCTGTTCTATTTTTATGAAAGACTCCAGCAATGCACTTTATCCTTATTTTTTTTTTTACACCGTTAAAGTGACCCTCCCTTTTACATCTTAATAAAAGTGCTGCTGGCCTTTATGTACTTTGTTTGTCATATTTCTAGTGTTTGGTTGAGGTGGGGGGAGATAAACTGGTGTCTTATAGTCTGCATATGGTTCTGTGATACACTTTAAATTTAATTGCTCTTGCTTCATTTTCTGAAATGAGGTGCTTGATCATTGCTTCGTGGGTCTATGTTCAGTGTGAAGCAGGCAAGTGGTCCTCCACGCAGTCAGTCTGTTCTATTTTTATGAAAGACTCCAGCAATGCACTTTATCCTTATTTTTTTTTTTTACACCGTTAAAGTGACCCTCCCTTTTACATCTTAATAAAAGTGCTGCTGGCCTTTATGTACTTTGTTTGTCATATTTCTAGTGTTTGGTTGAGGTGGGGGGAGATAAACTGTTGTCTTATAGTCTGCATATGGTTCTGTGATACACTTTAAATTTAATTGCTCTTGCTTCATTTTCTGAAATGAGGTGCTTGATCATTGCTTCGTGGGTCTATGTTCAGTGTGAAGCAGGCAAGTGGTCCTCCACGCAGTCACTTAAATGCTGGCTGGATTTGAACAACCTGTTAAATTAGGTACTAAAGGAGTACTATGCAAATTTTATAAAAGAGGCTGTTGTCATGATCAAATTAAACTTGGATTTACAATGTTCGCATAAATGGTGCATTATAAAACTGGTTCTTTATCCTGGCAATTATTTGTTGAAGTAAGCACTGCTGAGGGGATAACTACATCTGAAGTCTTGCATCACGGTTTTCTTTCCATCCATTTCTTTCGTAAAGTTGTCTTGCAGGGGGAAAAAAAATTGTGCGATTGCCACAAATGTAAGTTAGGGTCTCTACAGCATTGCCTTAAGTGTTGCTTTCAGTTACTAAATTAAACCTACGCAAATTAAGTAGCAATCTTCCACTAGTCCGTTACAGCATCTTTATACATGGGTCAAAACTATCATGGGACACAACTGTATCAGCAACCCAAACATCTGTCCTCAAATTTCATGAGGCATTTCAAAAGATTCTGTGGACTTGTTTAATGGGCACTTGGATCGTTTATCCCAGAGGAAACATCTCACCCTATAAACTTTCATGCATTTGTATCCCTGATAAGTAACTATCTTAATGTTTAAATTGAGCAAAATATATTATAGTGGCACATTAACATTTTGAGTTATGGTAGAAAAAAAAATACATGTACAATCTTTTGCAGTAGTCTTGGCATTTTAAATTATTAGTGCAACATATCGGCACTTACGTTCAGTAAAAAACAGTTTAGAGCTTTAAAATCTAAAATTAAACCATAATTGGTAGTTACAATTTAATAACACCTTTGATTTTATTCATCTACCCACCATAGTTATAAACAGAGGCAATAAATATAATGACAACATGCCTTGAACAAGCAAATAATTGACATTCTCAAATGCAGTTACAACTTGCCCTAAACATGAACAGTTGAGTATAGGTCTCTGTAATCGATGAGAATCACAGAATATTTGACAACACCTCAGTCTTCTGTTCACATGAAAAAGGCATCCTCAAGTTACATATGAAACTTCCTGAACTTATGGCATTCAGATAATTGTCAACTGTTGGGAAATGCTCCGGGCAAGGTACATCAAGATTTTCAAAGTAATCCAATACAACAATAGAAACAATTTTAGCAAGAACATAAAAAAATGGAATCAAACTAAAGAACAGACAAGCCTAATGATAGCTGAAATTTGATTTCATTAGAAAGACAAGCTATAAAGAGCTGTATCTATTTACCCTAGCAGTTAAAATTAAACATCCCAAGGGCTCCTTCTCTACCCCCTGAAAATCAATATAAAAGCTCTAATGAACTAAAACGGTTGTACCCTCTTAACAGACAACTGTCCACAGAGATACATCATCTTGGTGTTTTGTTTTTGGATGTAGTCTGTCAGATTGATAGTCTCTCCAAACATAGCAAACGCCTCAGTGCAGAAGAAGCCATCCATCTTGAGTGATCAGACCTGGCCATCTTGTTTGTAAGTTAATCTTGAAACTGTCCCAATCTGTGAACTGTGTGTAGTAGTTTGTGTATGTTAGACACCGGTGGGCATGAAACTTCCTGAACTTATGGCATTCAGATAATTGTCAACTGTTGGGAAATGCTCCGGGCAAGGTACATCAAGATTTTCAAAGTAATCCAATACAACAATTTTAGCAAGAACATAAAAAAATGGAATCAAACTAAAGAACAGACAAGCCTAATGATAGCTGAAATTTGATTTCATTAGAAAGACAAGCTATAAAGAGCTGTATCTATTTACCCTAGCAGTTAAAATTAAACATCCCAAGGGCTCCTTCTCTACCCCCTGAAAATCAATATAAAAGCTCTAATGAACTAAAACGGTTGTACCCTCTTAACAGACAACTGTCCACAGAGATACATCATCTTGGTGTTTTGTTTTTGGATGTAGTCTGTCAGATTGATAGTCTCTCCAAACATAGCAAACGCCTCAGTGCAGAAGAAGCCATCCATCTTGAGTGATCAGACCTGGCCATCTTGTTTGTAAGTTAATCTTGAAACTGTCCCAATCTGTGAACTGTGTGTAGTAGTTTGTGTATGTTAGACACCGGTGGGAGCAAGGCGGCTAATAAAGGCAATGCTGTTGAGGCACATCCTCCTGAAGAAGGCCGGACAGCTGGGCTTCATCACAAAATGCTCCAGTAAAATCCTCAGCTCCGTGAACAAAGTCCTGACAGGACAAAAATTACTGAACACTGATACTGGGCTCAGGACACACACACACACAACTAACAGGTAGCGCCCAGGTTTAAAAACTGCTGAGCATCTAACTGGCTCTAATAATTAATTTGTCATGGAAATGAGAACATGCAGAACCCCATATTTTTGGTAAATTGTGCATGTGTACAGCTAACACTACTCAGTGTGTACATAAGATACAAGATTCTTACCGACAATATGGGTTGCGTCTTGAGGTATAGCGCAGAGTGAGAAACCTGTAGTAGATGAACGGCTGAAGCAAACTGCCCTGACCACTGTGAATCACAAAAGCAAACATCATCTTATTAGAACATAGCATGGCTTTAATTGTGCTTTTTTCCATCACCAAACTACTACGTTTTTTTTAGCCTACTGTATATTTGATACATACATTTCTAAGGCTAAATTCTTTAACAATTAAACTCCGCACACCTGACGACAATAGATAGGTGCGTTGGAGGCAAAGACCAACCAGGTCAAAAAAGTAAAAAGCAAAATAAATCCCGCACACTATGCAAAAAATACCAAAATATTTGTTGACTACGTTTCGGTCGCATGACCTTCATCAGGAATTTTTTCAAACATGACATCACAAAGTACACCCCATTTAAAAATCGCTGTAAAGATCCATTGATTAATAACAACCCACAATAGGTACATCAACTTCAAAAAAAAAAAAAAAACACTTTCATGTACATATACACAAACATATCCTGTACATATATACTAGCACATACATCAGGCCCAGATTGCATTATAACATCACATTAAATAAAGCTTCATCATTCATGCCATTAGGGTAAAGATCCAAAACAGTTCACGTTGATCAGGGTTCGTACACATTTTTACCAATAAATTTCCATGACTTTTGAGACAATATTCATGACCTAAATGTTCCATTATTTTACAATAAGAATAAAAATCTATTTTTAGATAGACTATTAATGCTACTCGTTTGCTTTCTTGTTTTAGTAATAAGTACAAGCTGCAACTGCGCCAGACCTTACTCCACATTTCACATATCACATCACTGAATATTATAATTTATTTAACTGTGGCCAGGATGGCCCTTTTGGTGTCATTTTGTGTGTATTTTTGCTGCTTAAATGCAACAAGCTTTGCTTTAGAGCCCTGCATTTCAGCCTCTTCTGTGTAGACCAGCGGTTCTTAAAGTGATAGGGGGTCTGAAAAATAATTATCTATAGCCTAAAGTATTTCCAGACTGTAAAGTGCTTTTTTTTTATCATGATGCATAGGCCTACTGTGATTTATTACAAAGTGACTTATATGATGCATTTAACGTCAAATAATCTAAATGAAACCTTTTAAAAGACAAGTATTCCCTGACAAGTTTGTGGCATGCGCCGGAAAGATGCTCAAGGAGACTGAGACGCGCTAAACCAGCGCATTCTGTTGTTCTCTTTATTTTTCAAAGGCATTTTGTAGTTATTTTGAACATAGCATTACACAAATAAAAATATACATTTTACCATACGACTATAAATGACAGAGTATTAAGTTATTTCCCCTGGATGGGGAAAAAAACCAAGTGAACATCAATCAGTACTCAATATTAATTTAAACTGCTTTAAATATAACTGCTGCTTATTTCCTGTGCACTTCAATACTGATCTGCACTTGACTGTAGTCGCGTCTGTCTGCTTATTGAGTTTATTTAAGCCATCGCAATTTATTGGAACTGTGTGAACTAGAGTGACTACTCACCTTAATGTTGTTCTAAAGGCTTATTAATAACACAAAAATGTCCTGCTCGCACTTACCAATTTAATGGCAGAGAATGGTGACTTTAGGTTTTGTTTTTTGTTTTTAAGCGGATGCATATCTGTCGTAAAATAATCCTATGCATCTCGTGGCGTATATTCCAAGCATTCTGAAGGTATACTGAGGGTTCGGTGAGAAACAAACCGAAATGGCAAGTTATTATATTTTATGAAAATCTCGCGTTGCAGTGCAAGTGCGCAGTAGCTCACGCCGCGCACAAGTATCCTTTTGAGATATCAATTATAATAAATTTTAACAAAACACAAGACTACATTATATAACTCGAACAGTAGGCTATTTAATATCTGCTGTTCTCCGGTTGTCAGTCAGAATGACAGGATGTAAGAGCAAGTCAATATCGCCACCTCTAGGTGGCACATTAACCCTTTCAATACCACAAAACCGTAAGGTAGAAACATCATGATTTAAGGCAAGAAAATTAGCTGCAACTGGATAGTTCATATCTTTTCTCCTGATAGAACTCGTGTTTACTAATTCTTTAAGTTGACGTGATATTTTTCCAACATAACCTAAACCACAAGGACACCGAATCAAATAAACAACATACGTAGAAACACAGGTAATAACGGAGTTAATTCTATATTTTTTACTGGTTCTTGGATGACAAAAGAAAGAAGTTTTTGATGTATTATTGCACTGAGCACAATTACCACAACGATAATTACCATTTGGTATAGGGCTAAGTAATCTCTGAGAAAAATCAGGAGTATCCGTCTGAAAACAAACATGCACCAAAGAATCTTTTACATTTTGGAACATACATTTTTTTTCTACCTTACGGTCACCTAATGGCATGAATGATGAAGCTTTATTTAATGTGATGTTATAATGCAATCTGGGCCTGATGTATGTGCTAGTATATATGTACAGGATATGTTTATGTGTATATGTACATGAAAGTGTTTTTTTTTTTTTTAAGTTGATGATGTACCTAGGTTGTTATTAATCAATGGATCTTTACAGCGATTGGTCATGAATTCATGAATCTGTTTTTAAATGGGGTGTACTTTGTGATGTCATATTTAAAAAAATTCCTGATGAAGGTCATGCGATTTTTTGCATAGTGTGCGGGATTTGTTTTTTTATTTTTATGGCTAAATTATTTAGTATAGGAAATTATGATCCGCACTCACGAGAACAATCTTCTTTTTTTCTTTTATTTTACATTCATTACTGATGGGAAAAGATACAAACGTTTCGGCTCAAAGCCTTCCTCAGTGTGTGTAAAGCAATTCAATCCCTCCACCCACTTTTCAAATCACCAATTATATTGACGTCATCATTCATTAGCCAATGTTCAATTTCAGTTACCACAATCATTAAATCATTTCCACTTAAACACTGGACAATTTATATATATATATATAATTTTTATTTTTATTTATTTATTTTTTTTCAACACAAAACGTCACATCCACTAGTACACCTCACAATATACCCGTGACTAAAACAATAGTTATTTAGGATCACATATTTATCACTATTATACAAACCTATAGTTTATCCTAACAATCATCAATATCTACTCCACCAATTAACTATAAATTGTATAATTCACACTGTACAGTGTGAAAAACAATGATTGTGTATGATGATGAATTTCTGATGTTCTTAATTATTGAATTTTCCATTGTTATACAATTTAAAGTTAATTGGAAAAGTGGGTGGAGGGATTGAATTGCTTTACACACACTGAGGAAGGCTTTGAGCCGAAACGTTTGTGTCTTTTCCCATCAGTAATGAATGTAAAATAAAATAAAAATAAGATTGTTCTCGTGAGTGCGGATCATAATTTCCTATACTAAGTAACTCAACAGATTGACGCACCAAAATAAAAAGATCAAGTAACGCAAGAGTGCAGTGCAAACGACGTTGTTAAGGCTAAAAATCCCTGCACAATCTACTACGACTTCTGTCATTTGATTATACTTTTTAGCAACAACCAAACCGTTTAAAAAGGTCTCCCTTCAGGTTGCAGTACATGTCTTTTTGCTTTGAAATCTTTTAATGATTTTTATAAAGTTAATGATGTAAGAACAACTTTTATATTGTTAGTATTATTTCAAGATGAACACTAACTGGATGAAAATGGTTTAGGTTTACCTCACTATCCATCCCAAAAAATTGTTAAAATGTGAACAACAAATGAGAAAAATCAGGATTTTGAGGAAAGCTTATTTGTAGATCTCTCAATCATCATTTTATTGCATTGCATTATAAGTTTTGACCCAACAATCAAAAGTACAGAGTTTTGATCAGAAAACTAAGCATTTAAATATCATTTCACTAAGACATTATTGGGAGATTTAGATTGACAACTGATATATATATGCATTTTATTCTAGAAGTCTGCTACACTATCACAAAGATCTTTTTTGATTTACATCGCTAGAGTAAAACTGAGGTGTTTTTTTCCCCTCCTTGTGTATGAGCTCCATATTCTCCTTTATCATACTATATCAACCACAAAAGCCTGATGTAACATGCAGACTTTCAAGGACTTTTTAAAGCACCATTTATTTTATATCAAGCACCGCTCAAATTCAACAGCATATGTAGCGTCATGAAAGACCTTTTACAGTACTTAACATTTCACTTACACTTAACATTTACATTAAAATTGTCAGATTAATGAGGTTTTGAATGTGTAGGCTTCATAAACAGACCATTTTGAGCAGTCGTGTTCAAAGGAATTTAGAATTTCTCAAATATTGATACAAATATATATTCTTGCATCAAACTGGTTTTTGCTGTAATTCTTGTAAAATAATTAAATTTGAAAATTTCTCAATTTTTAAATAAATAAAAAGTGGTTAAAACAGGGCTCTACGCTTACTTTTCTTTTTAGGAGCACTTGTGAAAAACTTTTTTTTTTTTAATTTAGGAGCTCAGTCAAAAATTTCAGGAGCACCTTTCTAATCAATAATCAAAAATTCTGATCAAATATTAACCTTCCCATTACGAGATGATATTTGACTCAAAGTGATTTACAGGGAATTTTGTTTTTACCTATGTGATGTCATTTTTCTAACTTTATTAAAATGATGTCATCTTTTATCAAATTCAAAAAATTATATTTAAGTTTTTTATTTTTTTTATTTTATTAAAACAACAGAATAAAAACAAGTAGAATAAGAATAAGTTACCAATCAAATGAAATCAGTATTCAAAAATAATTTGTACTACAGAGGTGGCACCTAAGAACACTAAAGTGGCTTGTAGGTGTATTTTCAGATGGTTTAATGGAACGGAATGATTTAAATATCAGAAAAGATACTTTAAAATGAAAGTAAAAATGCCAGTAGATGGCGGCAAGTCACTGATTTTATCACTGAATCATTCATTCAATTGATTCGTTAGAACGGCTGATTCATTCAGGAAAGAAGCAAGTGACTGTCTTTATGAATGGGTAATTGAATCAGATTAGTTTAAAAACACCCATTCATACATAAACGAAACAACGCTGTGTTTG